ATTATTATTATTATTATTATTATTACTATTATTATTATTACTATTATTATTATTATTATTATTATTCATACATTGTGCCCATCTAGTTAAAACAAATCCAAGGCTTATTAGACACCGAACTATACTAGAGCCTGAGAGAACTAGTAACGCTAAAACAGCACGTACTTTCTTCCCTTATTTTCACGCAAAATTACGGGAAAGTACTTAAATTATCGAAATATTGTGCATGACCTTATTACAAAATTTATCTTTAAGGAACAGATTTCGTTAACGGAAAAAAGTCTATTTTTAAGATCTTAGTTGTAAGGACGCCGAAAATTGTTTAACTTTTGCGATTTTCGAAAAATTGGGGTTTTCAAACAACAGGAGATCTGCACCACTCTCCAAAACGTCCTTCACACTATCTAACAAAAAAATAAACAAAAACAATGAAGGAATTTTTTTTGAAACTTTTGGATATGTACCAGTGCCTTTATGTCATGTAACCCCATGATTAAAATATCGGTTTCAAATTCAAGTGGCCACATCAGCCAGAACGATAGGGGAATATAAATTTTGGAGAAAATCAGCTGAACGGTTTAGCTGCTAGCGTTGTTCACACACGCGCAGACAGACGAACAGATGTTTTCCGATTTTTCGGTATCAATGACTCACAGAACAAGGATTCTGGCTACACCAACTTGATTTATCTACTTTTTCGTTACCAGTGTCCGGTAAGAAGAGGTTTTCTGTCGAAAATTCGCCGTTATTTCGCGCATTATTACATAACTTGCTCTCTACTTCATAGCGAGAAAGTAAAAAAAGTATGGGTTTCATGCAGTGGCGTAGCATGGGTGGCAGCCGGCCAGGCGGAGGAAAATTTCGCCGCCCTTTATTATTAAGGTATTTCAATTTAAAATACTAAACATGAATAATTGAAGGTCATGTACATATGTTTTACAATATGAAAATCACATTCATTACAAAAACTCTTACAAGTTTGCTGATTACATTGACTAACAGTTATAGAACACACATGATTATTCCTCGATAATCGACAAGATTAACTTGTTAGCGAATTGAAATAAAACTCAAATCGACTTTTAATTAGAACTAGAACCATACTGTTATTATTTATATTTTTATTGAAAAATAGTATAATTGTTAGAATTAAAAACAAAAATTCTGTCTTTTACTACAGCTTTATTCGTCTACTTTTTTTGGAAGCAATATATTTTATTGCACTACTAATGTCTATTGCATTGCATAGCTCTTGCTCAATAGGCAACATATCCAGATTGGTTAGTTTTAAGTACCCATTATTGAACTTCAATAATGTTGATCTTTTTCAATTTTGAAAAAGTCCTGTCACAGCCCGCATTGCTTGTAGCAACTCTGAGGAATAACCGGACCATTATTATAGTATTGGGCAAAGTATCTTCTAGCTTGTATTTCACAATAAATGGTAATAATTCAAACCTGGCTCGGTGGCTCAGAGCGAAGCCGCTCGCCTCTCATCAAGGATGCCCGGATTCGATTCCCGGACAATCTCATGTGAAATTTGTTCCGACAAAACGAGTTTGGCTGCTTCACAAGTGCTAGTTGAAATCGTGTGAAGGTTTTAACCCTAACCCTATCCCAATTCCATCCCAATTCTGGCCGCTGTGTAGAGTCGCAGGAGCACATAAGAGGCGTGTACGCGGTAATGCTATCTTGCGGTCCTCTTGACAACAGACTGCGACGAGACGCGACGGATAAGACAATGTAATAATTAATGGTGAATTACTCCCGAGCTGTTCTTTATGGAGAATTACTCCGAAAGAGCAAAGCGCTCTACGCCCACAAGGGGCTTAGAGACGCATTGCGTAGACGCAACAAATTAAGAAAAGATCCGCATTAATTATTTTTCGTTGCTGTAGCAACGAATTTCCGCAGTCAAAGTCGTTCCAACTTGAAGTTCGGCAGATGCTCGTTAATTTCGGCAGACTAGTCATAGTCTAGATTATATTTAGTATCGTCCGAAGTAATGTAGTAGTATAACCTGCGTTAAATAAGCAAACTTATCCGCCAAATTCTGTAGCTGGTCAAAACACTCACGAATTTCTACAGATATTCCATCCAACGAAGAAAATAGCTTCTGTCTAAAAATTCATTTTTACAGGACAAGTCAGCATCTCTTGTTTCGTCAACAAAAATGTGTCAGTAAAAATCACTATTCCTTAAGTGATAAAGTCATTCTCCCTAAATACGTATTAATAATAACTCATAAACAACTCAAGAACAAAATAAAATACGGGGAATCTCTATAAGTTGCTTAAAATGAGCAAGATGTCATTATTACGCATTAATTTAAAGAGGTCGTCGCAGAATAAGTAATGAAAGATTCCGTGTCCATTTCAATCTGGCCAAATCGTAGGAGCGACAATAATATTAACAGAAATGGTTCAAATTTTTACAAGGTATTGTTATTAACATTATTATTATTATTAATTATTATTATTATTATTTGTGATATTTGGCGCCCCCCCCTAAAGTTGCGGTCCGCTCCTTCCACCCCCACGACGCTATGCCGCTGGTTTCATGAACCTGCGAATGAATTGTACGAGTAAAAGCGTACCTAGACACGATTGGCGAGAACCTCCATTCGAAAATAAACGTTGGGACATCAATATCCATTTAAATATGTTGAATAATAACATGCCGGGTTATGCTGGTATAACCCAAGAAACACAGATGTGGTTTACTCCAGCAAACAATAGAGCTCTACTGACCATATCTACGACGAACCAGTTCGGTTTTTCGGGAATAAAATCAGTTTGTTCTCGTGGACGCGACTTATTTTGTCGTCAATGGAATTTTAAATATTTTGTTCCGTAATTCAAACTTATTATTTTTCTACTGTTAAAAAGGAAACAAGAGGCTTGTTCTTTTTTCAACTGCATGTAGTAAGCTTGAATTTTGGATACTGAATTGAAATAATAGTGCACTTTAAAATTAATAATTCTTTCTGATTTCTTATGATCTTTCAAGGCACAACGTGAGAAGCTTAAAAGAAATGTTTCCTGCCTATCGGAGTCTCATAGGGATAGTTTTAGATTTGAGGAAAGGGAAGAAAATACGCTTACACAAAATTGGAAAGGTTCAAGACAAACTACTTTACCGCTGAATTAGCGCACCGCCTCATTGCGGGATTCGTCCCCACCAGCAAGCACGAAACTTTTGTTTCATACAGTATAGCAATAAAGAGCCACGTTTTGCATCAATGAAGCCGTAAGTGACCGTACTTCAGTCTTAACCTCAGACGTGCAATTGTCATCGCCCATATCTCGGGAAGATACCTTGTACGTACTCCTAAGGTCTTAGATAGGACCTGAATCTTGAGTAATACAAAATAGATTAGCTGAGAAAGAAACACATAATAATAATAATAATAATAATAATAATAATAATAATAATAATAATGCCAATATGAAAAAAAGGTAAAATTAAGGAATAGAGCATTGATCTACTTACAGTCTTTCAAGAGCAAGAAGATCCTGAAATGCGCCTCGTTCAATAGTATGAATTTCGTTTTCCATCAATTGCCTGAAACAATAGAAACAGATCTAGATGTTTCATGCGAACGTAAAAGGTAGCAAATTTATTTCCAACAAGCCCTAACGGCCGCTGCGCAGTGACCAGCAAACTAAATAAAAATCTTACTGTTTAAAAATTGTAGAATTTAAAGCCACACTTCATGTTCTTAACTACTTTGTTTCTTAGTAAAATTTGTTTAGATTGTATGAAGTCATTATCTCCGTTTCACTAGTGGTACTACGTAATGCTGTAATGCATCATAAGCCTAACAATTAAAATTTATTGATATTTAACTTTTAACTATTTCACCCCACACTAGGCAAGTCAGAATCTATTCGAGTTCGTAAAGTTCGTGATATAAACGAATAATAATTTGCTATATTGACAGCCAAGTCTACAATGTCTGGTTTCCTTGACGAAAATTGATGAAATTACCAAGTTTATGCTCCCACAGTACAAATTTATATTTTTGGTGTGAATCTGTAAAGTCGCCCCTATACAGGAAACCGATTAATCTATTTGGGAACCTGGCTCTATTTTATTCTTTCTAGTGTCACTGAGTTTTTGTTACGTACTGATATATATATATATATATATATATATATATTACACACACACAGATTATCAACAATGCTGCCAATATAATAAGCAATTATTTATTTGTAACAATATTCCGAAATAATATTAGGTGAATTACGTTTTCCGCTGTACATACTCGTACACCATCTTTCTATTACACAAAGCAAAACAACAACACATGAATTTAACCTTTTAATTTATAAAACACAACGTATCTTGTCAAAACAAACCCAAAGAACATCCTCTCATTCATACATATTTAATTTACGTTTCATTCACACGAGTGCACTCCCTTTAATAATTGAATCTATTTTAATGGCCATTTACTAAAATGGTACTGAAATTAATCACAAGACTTGGCCTTGCTTCAAAATCGTTTTGGCAAAATTGCGTCACCTCCCTGCTTGCTGGTGGGTCCTAATGGCGCCCTCCCCAACAGCTGCAAATGACATCAGCCCACTCGTTCCGGTTCTCCTTTTTTTTCAACTCCAATCATTGGGACGCGTCCAAATGGACCATCACAGTATTGCACAGACTTTCTCGTACTCTTTGTTCTGGGTAAGGTTTTGGGTGAATTCCCACCTTCAACCCAGCTGCCACCTATCACGGCTGAAACTACATTTTACCTTTCAATTGTTTGTACCCCTATTGGGAGAACTGAAACACGACTTAAAGAATATTATGGAAAAGTAAAACATTAGTGACGGATTTTTAAAACAATTCCATGTAAGGTGTAATTAAAAAAGAAACAAAAGAAATAATACATCAAAGAGACATTGATGTCATGTTCTTTAGTCCATTTAGCACTATTCGTTCAAAACAATTACAGAAAACATTTGGAGCCGTTTTTCAGAAAATGGCGATCGAGCGTTTCTGAAAATGCGGAATTTTGAGTTAATTTTCGCAGAAGTTTTTGAGTTGATTAATTACACGGTGGTCGCGATTGTATATACTTTCTAAATTTTCAATATTATATTGCCCAGGTGAAATTGCAAGAATGTGAATATTTTATGTTCAGAAAATAATTTATTATTATTTGAAGTTACATTAGGTGCAAGGAATGAACAATACAAACCAATACATGCAACTTTCGAATAATTATATATTGGTGTACGTTTTTCTTGTAATAAATAGCTTAGCTTCAATATTGTAACGTTTCTCCGTGGTGAATTAAAACCAACACAATATTTAAACAAAGAAGGTTTATTC